GAACATCGTTCAAATATAATTTAATTAAAATGTTTTTCAAATAACAGAAGTTTTGTTATTTAAATATATAATGATAAATAATATTAATTTGTTTAAATTTGCGGTAATATAAAGTTATATATTATCTCTTGAAATAAGTAAATAAAGTATAATTTTCAGATAGTATAAAATTTATTATAATTTATAAGACCTTTAAGATATTTAAATGTCACGTACATAAACTATATATTAATTCATTCAAGTTACGACTAATTGTAAAGTCTAATTAGCAAAGAAGAAATTGTAAGTAATCATGAAGATGCTAAAGTCACAGTGTAAGGAAAGGTAGTGCAGGGATAGTGATATAGGATTTCCTATCTCAGCGCCGTATGCGTTGGAGCGATGAACTTTTCATAGCTACAGTAATGGGTCCTACTCCTGCTCATCTCCAGGCCGCAGCTCGATCGGTTAGCGAGGGTAGATATAGAAATTGTCTTTGCTCTAATTGGCTAAAGATTTATTACTGAGACAAGATTCACTGCGTTTTGATGCGGAGTAAAATGGTGGGGATGTGCGTGGCAACTGAGGGAATAGGAAAACCGTGCAGGAGTAGTCTCATTACTGTATCTGAGTAATGCAAAATCGAAGACGGGAGTGTGAAGAATTACTGCTACTATTACGTCCATGGCTATGTTATAGTCATACATAATTATGGCAACTGCAGCAAAATCTGTACTTCAGGATATGCCTCCGAAGGGAGGATATGCCCCTTATCAAATTGAAAGAATTCCACTACGTACTGTTATTGGAGGTATTTACATATATTTATATAAGAAAATAAACAGTTTTCATTTGTGTGTACGTATTTGGTTGTTATAAAAATAACGTTGGCTTTTGTATTTTTAAACTTTGTCTTATCATTTGTGAATAAATTTTTAACTTGGATGCATTTATGTAATGTACTATTTATACCATAAACCCAATAAACCTATCATTAAAAATCATTAGTATATGTTACCTCATGAAAGTGCAATTTCAATAATGCATTTGGTATAGGAACTATTAGTGAATATATGGTGTAATTTTGGTTTGAAAAATTTGGTATTATAGGGAAGAGCTTCAAAGATCAATGCATGAATATAAAGGCACTAATTAAAACCAATCAGTTTAAAGCTATCTAAGAGATTGTTCTCAACGCATCCAGCAAAACTTGTCATGTTTCATTACCAAACCTCTCATTAACAAAATTCCAATTTTTCGAGCATGTGGATAATTTCTTGCAGGAGAATTTATTGACTCCAAAATTATGAAGTGAATCCTGTTATCAGAATAAAAAATGGAGCAAAACCTGCTATTAGAATAAAAAATTTATTTCGAACTGATATATATGTTTGAAGTTGTCGACTGAAAATCACCATTATTTTTGCATTAGCTTAATATAAATTATTTTTATAATAATATATGTAACAAAATAATTTTCAGGTCGTCTTGGAATAGCACTCTACTTAACTTCTACATTTGGAGGATTATATCTATATGGTCTAAGTTATAAACAAATTAAAATGAATGCGCTTGAAATGAAAAGTGCACGCCATGCTCTACAGCCACTGTTGGAAGCAGAAAGAGATAGAGCGTAAGACTATTTGCATAATTTTGATTATTTTTAATGTTTGAAGTAAAATGAACATATATATACATTCAGAAAATGTCACTGTTAAAGCAAAACATTAAATTGACTACATACTAACATTGTAAAGTGGTATACTAATGAGGAACTACTTTGTAAATGATTCTACTGATTCTTTGGATGTAAAGCAGGAATGATAAAGTAGGTAAAATCTCTCTATTTGTCGCCGGGACCGAACTCTAAGGTGTCGAGTGTAGCACACAGGAATTGGTTTCTTCGAGCCTTGCGGCCCGCATTTATTGTTGCCGACATCTCGTGAGAGAGAGAGAGATAGAACCAAACTCGGGTCGAGCGAAAGCTGGAAACATTGTAGTGATAGAATAAAAACGATGACCTAGCTTTTTTATTTCTAATTTTTTATACATGAAAATTTTTTAAATATATTGGTTACATTTTTCCAATTAAAATGATACCAAACACGACATGCTCTAGACCACTCTTATTCATTATACGTAATAAGTAACTTATTTTATTTGCGAAAAAAGCATTAGAAAAACCGATTTTTAACATATGAAATATTAAAGTCAAGGTCAAAGAAGGTATTTATGTAATTATAATTTGATCATGCATGTTTTTTGAAAATGATTGAAATGGATGTTGTACTATTTCTTGCAATTTATAAATCTATATAACAAAATATGTTGCTAAAATTATAAATTCTGAATCAATTTTTTCTCTACAAGGTGAGTTACCTAACATTTTCACCTAAAATAACTTCGTTGTTTTTAACAATAATAATAATTTATTTTATTTTGTTTAATAATTTATACAAATCGAATTGCGTATAATATAAGGATCTTTAAATTCGAAGCACAACATATGTATTATACATGATTGAATTTGTTTTTTCATTAGATATAACATTGCATTGAATAAGCTATGATAAACTATTTTTAGAAAATGGCACTATCCTCCAAATATGAGTCTCTAATCTATCACAATAATTGCAAACATGTTAGATGAAAATGTTAAATAACACACAAGTTGTTAAGAAATTTTGATTTTGGTAATATATTTCAAGGTCATTGAACATGACAGTATTCGTTAGGCAAAAATAACAGTAAAACAGTCGAAGCTCTCCTCCTTTGGTGGTATGGAATGATTTAATAACCATCCAAAGAAAATCAGAACACACAATAGTCGGTTCTTAATAAAATGTAATAAAAAAATGCAAGTTTTCATCTAAAAAACGTGACCTTCACAGATCTTTCTCAGGTCATGTCCTCATTAATATCACAAGGCCGTGGACTAGAACACCCTGTTTTCGATGTTTGACTTGATATCTCTCTTTTAAGGAAGGCTCAAATAAAAAATTTCAATGGGGTTTTCTTTTTTATACATAAAATTACTATTTAACCTACAATCGTTAAACAAAAACTTTTTTGAAATAAATGACAGTTATACAAACCCAAAAGTTCAGTTTTATTCAAAGTATTGTCCACACTCTTGGTAGTTAAAGAAAATATATAATGTTTGCCTGTAGGAGAAACAATAAATAGAGAGTTGAGTGGTCAAATACTTTTTCTTAAAGTTAGTGTAACTTAATGAAAGTATAATAAAATCATCTGCAAAGTTGAAGAGCAAATAATTTAATAGTTTTTTTAGACTACTAAAATCATAAACTGTAAAATTATTAAAAATTAAATTATTTAATTAAATGGTAAAGCTCAAT